GCAATTCTCAATTATCTGGTACTCCCCCAGGGATATGCTAGATGTTCGTAACCTTTCGGCCGATGGTATTTATACCAAGAAATTGCTTTTAGGCTAAATCCAACCCTAACAACTGACCAGAATTGTCCCGATCAAGTAAATGTGCTATTCATTAGCACATCAAACAAGTAAATTGACCAAATGACCTAAATAAATACGCAGTGGCACATCTGTCGAAGGGATCAACGCCCTCGGCGGTGTTAACCTTTAACTTATCTCTTTATTGGCTTTCATTCACAGCAAACTAGTTTGAACAGCAGTCAGAGAGTTGCTGGAAAAGTCTACTGAGAATAAAGGAAGATCACCCAAAAAATAAACTCAGTGATGGATTTCATCCGCTTAAGTATTATGTGTTAGATGACCAGAACTACGTAATGTTTAGAAGGGTTTTAACGGTCTCTCCGATTTCCAGTTGCATGGTCCAATTATTTTTTAGCATCTTGAAATCCGTGTCACCTTCGTACGATAGCCTGAATGCGCTGCGAAAATCGTACACTTCCTCCATACACTGGGGCATGGCTAAAAAATACCGACACACGCGAAAGAACGCTCTCCACTAAACGGCTGAAGAGGAGGCCCGACCGCCGATATGAGGATTTGCACGTCTGATTTTTCCGATTTACACCTGAACCCGTCATCAAAGTCAACAAAAATCACGGCCCGCGGAAACGCGACGGATGCAATTTCTGCATTAGTTATTGGTAGCTTTAGATGGTGAGATAGTCGCTTGGTCGCCCGAATCTGAGTCGGTAAAAGCTGTCACTTAAGCCCCAATTATAGTAATTGACGGAATAGTTATTTGGCTGTTTGTTTAACCAGTTCTGTCATCGGCACCACTCGTAACTCTTGCGTGACTGCATAACTGAATGAGAATTCCACCTTCTTTGCAGACGATATTCACTGTATGCTCCACAGGAGGGTAGGGGCAGGGACGGTGACTTGCGTTTCAAATAATTTATAGTGACGACAGACTTGCGCCGCGTCCACCGCACTCTCTCCTCCCGCACCTCGGCTGAGTGTCAAGACAGAGTCAAGAATACGGGAAGCGGAGGAGGGCGCGGGTGGCGGATATGGCGAAAAAACCTGCATTTAGACATGCCATCACTCCTCCTGGTCCACAACGGACACTAACTAGAACCACATACGTCAGGATAATGGAGAGGGGTGGCACGGATACCAGTTGTCCCGACATGGGTCTGCTGCCACACACCAAAGTTGGCATTTGCTATGGGTGCGTTTTCCCGACAACGAGTGTAGGACTCCGATCTAGCATCTGGGCTGGTCCAGCGCCTCTAGCACGTGGCCCGTTTTATAGGCAGGCATAACTGAACACCAGCCCAGGAAAGCATCGACGCTGAATGCGAGGGGGAAGGTCACTGTACATGGTTGCGGACTGTAGACCGCGGAACCATGAACTACATATCTCGTAACTCACAGCTCGTTCTCCTCTTGCGCTAATCTTGACCTCTACGAAGTTGAAGAAGTTGTCGAGGTACGTTGAGTGAGCCGGAACCGAGAGTTTTGGATTTCTCACATGGTCGATTATCCGCGTCCGATATAATCCTCCACTTTTACTGACGTATTTGCCTTGTCTACAACCGTACCAGGTGCAATAGTCGACTCCTGATATTTTCTACTCTGACCGAGTGTCTTTTGCTCATAGCGCTTGACGCCTGATTGTTTCCTCTGGTCTGGATACAACTCCAACACCAAGTGGTCTTCGAAGGTGGCTGGCTTCACCCGGAATATCCTTAGCGTACAGGAGCGATTGCCAAAATTTGAATCCCTGCGTGATTTTGTCTTTAGTTTTGCATTTTCAACTACCGGCAACAAAGGCAATGCAGGTAGTCATTTGATCATAACTTCATCTTCCGATTTACTGAAATAAGCCTCAACACACCGAAATAGCGCTATTGCGCAACCGTCTTTGGGACCTACGCGAGACTTGCTGCTGAAATCAGCTGATTCCGTTGTATTTATCACTTACTTGGGCACTAGTATTTGAGACATCACAATGTTCACGGCAGTTGGGGACATCAGTTACGTCCAGCAGGTAATTTTCTTCCCGTTGTATCGTGAGTTAAATGCCCAGGCAGAAGGTGATGAGATGGCCCTTAAATGTTACCATTTGATGCTCTTTGGAGGAAGACGACAGCCCCATCTACGTACGAGGCTCAGAAACTCTGACAGAAAGTCAGTGAGTAACCGAGAAAGGCTCGGTTTACATCTGAAGCCTTCTGACGGAGAAAAATAAAAACAAATACAATACCAATTTTTGCACAGTGGATGGTCCAATTCCTTATTGTCCGCATGGAAAATTACGGACAGGGGACCTTCGGAATTTCTGCCTGCAGAGACACTGCTGATACTACGAAAATGCCCCTGCCGTACAAATCCACTTAAGTGTAAAATCTCGTCTTTGAATTGGCAAACACTGCGACACGGGAATGAAAAGGCTAAAGGTCCCAGCCGGCGTCTTCTTGTTATAGCCAACAAATGCTTCCGCTCATAACAATATCGGAAGTCGGAGTCAACAAGACTTTCAGCATCTTTAACACCCTAGATTGCATCAATGTGACTTCCGACACCGTCCGAGGCATTGACGAGCAGCCATCTCGAGCATCCTAAGCCTTGCCTCTCGCACAGAGGTATCTAGGAGGTTGGGTCTCATTCATTGTATAAAATGCAAGTCCGATTATCGCAGGATGACTAGCAGACAACTAGTGACACAGATGCGCTGGTGCAAAAGGACACGCACCTATTCTTGACTGCGTATGTCCTCAAAAACAGTCATTAGTTTCCTCTCTTTATCTGCAACCGTCTCTGATGATGGGCTCAAGTGAGAGTCCGCAACGTCAGGCCAACAAACTTCTTGCTTCAGTGATCACATTTACTTCTCCCTCCCTAATGTTTGCCAATGATTCGACGAGTTGAAAGCAAACAACCCAGGCAACAGCTTGGAGTGTGCCGGCTGACGCCGAGTGAATTACTCGAAAAGTCACGTAACCCACGGTCATAAAAACCGTTCTAATTCACCATAGCAGATAATGATAATAGCCGGGAGCGAGAAAATTCTGATATTTACGCCTTCAATGCTTCGACTTTTCCAAAAGATGCTCTCACTGGGAGATAGTAGTGGCTGCTGCGTCGCCCTCTTCTGAGCTCTATATTTTCCTTCTATGAAATTCGAAAAATGCAAATCAATCATACTGCAAGTGACTGAGAGACTCAGAATATTAAGCAGCTATTCCGCAGAGGCAGCTAAATCACAGTTCAACTTTTCATATCACTTCTTAAACCAAACGCAAGGAGATTTGTGGCGGGGATTGCAATCCACGTTTGCACAGTATCTTCCGAGGAAAGAGAAAAGTCCGATATTCTAAATCGAGTTATATAGCAGGAAGCACATGGGTAAGGCTGGCGGAGGCACTGATCAGCCGAATTCCTGGCAGCTTGTGTTACACCGGTGAAACACGTGTCTGGGCTTTGGCTAATTCTCGGCTGGTAATATGGTAAACTAGTCAGTTGTCCAATAATGCTGAGTGTCTGTCGTCTGTTATTTCATTAAGTCTGATGGATTTCAACTCAAATGATTATATCAGATTTCGAATCAACACTGAGAAGTAAGTGATTGAGGATTTACCCCAACTTCATGGAGTAGTTGCTGGGGTAATTCAAAGCTGACATTCGTGCACCGTTATATAGAAGGGATGGCCACGAATATGATTAAAACTCAAGGGGATTTCTGCTTTGCCCAAATACTACACTATTGAACTGTCGCAGGCAGTCGCATTGCTTAAGTTGCTTAGCGGAAGAAATACCCATGAAGAGATTGGATATTAGAACAGTCATTTCTGGCATACCAGCGGTTTTCACACGATCATAAATCAACATATTCTTTGGATAAACGGGGGACAGAACCAAAATTTATTGGTCACCCGACGTGAATTTAAATCATCTGAAATTCCGGTAGCAAAACTCGAAATTATGCACACCGCGGCTTGGGCCATGGTTTTCTAACGACAGCTTACAAACCAAAATAAGCGCTGACATCTCTTTTATTTTTTCAAAGTCGCTTATATATACAGTGAGTGGGCGATCTCATCAAATTTTATGGACTCTATATGATGTATTTTTAAAGCCATAAAGGAATGTGTGATCTTATCTACGCGGAATGCATATACCTTGTATACTGAAATTACCCATCGCTAATGCAACGACGGATCAGGCTCCAAATTATTCGGGGTTAAAAAACTTTTTTAAAACCTAATTATGCCCCTTCCTCGAGTATAATTCTTAAATATGACGTGATTCTCTATCAAACGACTGTAAGAAAGCATATTTTTGTTCGTGGTATCTATAAAATATATTTGAATTTGTATGACCATCGAAAATCAATGTGAAAAATGCATGCTACTTAAGTAATCATATTTTTTCCGATTTCGATCTCGAAGGTAGATTGAAAAGCAGTATATTCAAAAGCTGACACCGTTCCGAGTCCGAAATACTATACGATTATGTCGCAAGATAATCAGTATTACAACCGCACTTAAGTAATACTTCCTAATCGAATACGCATTTCCGAATTTCAGCCAACATTTCATGGGATCGGTCACTCACTGTATATATGGGAAGGAGAGGCGATTTCGGGAACCATGGTTATATTGCCCCGATATTTCAAAAACAGACATGCTTTAATCTTCGGAGACGAGTATTTTACGGCGTCACACAGTATTTATAGGCGGATGGGTGACAATCATGTTAACATGGTGTTAATTATACGGGGGGAGTCGTTAATCGGCTTTGGCGCTAATGGTCCGCATACGCGCACAGGGATCGTCTCTGTAGTCCACTGGGCAGAGCGGGAGGGACGGTGACTGCTGTCAATCTGCCTGTCTCTCGTCGAAGGGCGGTATTTGAAAGTTGGTGGCCAACGCCCGCATTCGCGTTGACCTTAGTTGTCATCTTGGGTTGTTAGTCTTGACTGCATCCCTCTGACCGCGTTTCTCCCCGTCTACCGGAGGAGTGGTTGAGGTGGCCGTATCGATGACTGCGCCTCCGTCGGGCCCGATTTGCGGTTTGGTTATGTGTAGGTCCGTCGTAGGTTCTTCCGTGTTTGGATTCACGTCTGGTCTGACTTCGCGCTTGCTCTTTCGTTCGCTGGACTGCGTCCAGAGGGCTTGGCAGGCTGTCGGAAGGGCGGCACGGCGGTTTATTGAGGTAGTCTCCGTGTGCCAGGCTTCTATTTTTTCTCTGACCACGCGGTCATTACCCCGACCCAGAATTTTGGCGTTCTGGAAGGCGAAAGTGTGGTCAGAGTCCACGCAGTGTTCCGCCACCAGAGACAATGGGTCTATTCTTCTCACTGCCCGCACGTGTTCGTTAACCCGGGTTTGTGACCGTTTGCCTATCTATATGCATATGAAATAGATATGATTCTTTGACAAAAAATAACCTTTGTTGTGTTAATTCTTGAGGCTGTTTTCCGGCTCGTCGTCAGGTTTTTGGTCATGCGCAAAAACAGTTAGCGGTGGAGAACAAGTGATTCTGCGGTTTATCGAAGTCTGCTTCAATGCGCGTCAGCCGTACTTCGTCATCCCCTCGTCATTGACTATCCTCACTTCCCTCTCTTCTTGAGAAGCTTGTACGTGACCTTGATATGCCAATTGATGCATGCCTCATCTGAGTGAATTGTTTCCAGGAATTTGCGGCTTTTCCTTATTGGACAGGCGTCATCAACGGGAATGTTCTGTCACGCAAATTTGTGCCCAGCATTTAGTGTGTGCATGGCCACCTAGGATAGCTGATCTCGTCTTCTCACTGCTTACCGATGTTCATGATTGCGGGTTGAGGCAGATTTTCCCAGTTTGGCCACAGTGGGTGACATTAGAACTGACACATGGTATCTTGGGACAAACCTTTTCCACCAGGGCAGCCAGTCGCCTTCTTTAGGGTGTGCGAGCTTGCAGTTGCGGGTTAGCGTACCACTTGTATCTGATGTTTTTTTCAGTTGTCTTCCGACGAACTTAGGTTCGTCTTACGCGTATGGGAGAATCCTCCAGGTGAATGCTTTCGATTCCTGAATGGCTTTAGCATTTGTAATACCTTTTATGTTTGAAATCATGCGACTTAGTGCACTGACGCACAAAGTCATTCAAATACCCCTTATGGAAAAATAATTTGAAGAGGTATTTATTTCTTGAAAAGTCAAGTTGGCAAACACGTGTACTCGATCATTCTTCGTCAGAGCATCATAGTTACAGGGAGGAATGAAAATATGCAAAATTAACAGTGCTTTTAGGTGAATCAAGGGCTATTAAGTCATTAATACTCTTCATCTCCACGACGCCCGCATGAGGAGGTCGGCGGGTTTTGATCTTCGCGGCTAGGGGAGGGTGGTAAGAGAGTCTTTAAGTGATGTTCATTGATTGAGTACTCGGAGTACCCATCACTGTGATTAGGGATTTGAGGAGGCATGTCGTCATCACTCGAGGTTGGTGTTGGCCAAGATATCTGGATAACTTCCTTCACCAGATCAATGCTTCAGCTCGATTTGACAGGCTGTGGACAGGACTTCTTTTCTGAGAGATGGGATAGCTTTTCTCAAAATTTGGATGATTCCTTGAACTGTTTCTTTACGATAAACTAAGGTGTAAAGTGATCAATCAGTTTTTCGACGTAACGGATCAACCAGAAATGGGAGATGCGCATCGACCTCCGTTTCAAAAGTAATTACGATTCCTGGAAAAACTGAGTTCAGTCTCATGTAGAGCAGATTAAACTGGCTTTACATGACAATGACAAATATGTCACTAGCATGGCACAGACAAATTTCGAGTTAACTTTAGGAAGTGCTGTAGATTCCAGTTTCTGCATTTTATATTCCGGTAGGATGCCAGATATAGGCGAACTCATAGGGGCATATTTTAGTAGACAGTAACATTGTCCGGCGAAAGAACTGTTGGTTTCTAGACACAGCGGCGGATTTCTGGCGCAAACGCCAAAGAAGTATCCATTTTTGTAGGTTTTAAATGGTAACTGCTTTAAGCACATTTACTCAACATCTGACAACAACCTGGGAAACCAGTGTCAAAAATGTACATTAGAGGGCTTCCTGGTGTTTTTAAACAACGTAGTTAACTTCAAGTTACAAATCATGGGATGCCGGCCAGTGAGGAAGCAATGAACTCAGATGAGGTATGCATTAGTCGGCACATTGATGTAGATTTTAAGTACACACTTCTCAAGAACAGATGAAAGCGAGGGCAGCCAATGTCGAGGGGATGATAAAATACGGTTTACGCATGTTGACACAGACTTCGGTCAACCGCAAAATCATTTTTTCTATGCCGTTAAATAGCTAACCGTCTTTGCGCATGACCCATAAACCTGGCGACGAGACGTTTCAGAAAAGGGTGATGGGGATAATTCATTTGGATTTCATAAACCGGAAACCACACGGAGAACACTAGAGGACCCATTGAGGAGCCGAACCTTTCGCAGCTATGTCACGCAGCAGCAGGATAGCGGCGAAACACGTCTCTGAACTCTTAGCAAGTGAAATTCGGGACTCTGCCGACGAAGATAGGCAGCAGAGGAACCTAGAAGAGTGTTCAGACAGGCGGCTCCTACGGTTCAACGTTGGTAAATGTAGCATACTTTGCCTAGGCAACACATTTAGATCCGCCAGTACAAAGGACTACTTTCTGGACTGTGCAATATTACGAGACGTCGAAGCCCAAAGGACCTCGGTCTGCTGACGACGAGTTCCCCAAAACCATCCGCTTATTGTTCTCTTTGCCGCTCACCGCCCCCTACCATTGTATATTCCCGATTGAAAACCGACAGGGCAACGGGCTCGTGGCTGAGTGGTTGGAGGCGTGGACTTCTAACAAACAGATCACGAGTTCGAGTCTTGGGTGTGCCACACTTCGGGGTTGGGTATGACTGGCTGACGACGGCTGATAAGCCAGAAATGGCCATTCCAGTCTTCCTTGTCTTTGTCGGTAACATCATTCTGCCTATATCATGCGCCGCTGTGCGGCTGCTGGTTGGGCTCGAGAAAGAGTCTATAAGGCACAGCGGAATGAGTGAGTTCCATAAGAACAATCGGTGGGCGCCCGCTACCATTATATATATATATATGCAGATAAATATTATATATAAATATATGTATATATATATGCTGAGATTGGGGTATCAATAAAAACCAGGCAGAATGGAATGAACATTTTTGGCTTACTATCCATCTTGAGCTATCTATGTTCAAGTCGCCCCAGATCTGGGACTTATTACAGTTGGTCACTGTCGACTAAGAAGCCAGAAATGACTGCCCCATATTTCCATGTCTTTACCGATACTCCCTACACAAGTTGGTCATTGCTATGCAATTGCCTGTTGAGGCATTAGATTGAATCCTAAGACGCAACAGTACAAGAATTTCCTTTACCAGATCGCTGAACGTCATTTCCACAGTCGTTAAAATTTCCAATCGCAATCGACATGAAATCTGGCCGGCTCAGTGGTAGGGCATTAGACTAAAAACTCTTAATGATCAAAGACCTCCGGTTCAAATTTATAAAGCTAAAAAGCTAAGGGATTGTAAAGCTGGCTGGCGACTTTTAATGAGCAGGCAATTATTATCTCAGTTTTCCGTGTTTTGTCGGCTTTCTCTTCCCACTCTGGAGGGGTGCTCGCCGATCGGGTTTTGGGACGTGCTCGTCACCTGAATCTTGGGGCTCAGTTTTGTGCCTCCGCGGGCAGCCGCGTAGTCATTTGATGTATGCGAAGAAGTAGGTACCGATAAAGACAACTGATACTGGGATGGCCATTCTTGGGCTTATTAGTCGCCTCAATCAACCATAAGTAAACGTAATTCCCAATAGCAAAGCGCCGGACCGCTAACTACCCTGTAAAAAAACACCCCATTCCAATTCCACGTTATTCGGACCTGGCTGGTATGAAACTAGAAATATCGTAAATTATTGAGGGCCGGAATTAAAATAAAGTGATCGGAACATGACATTTTAGGGTAAGCTCAGATATACAGTAAATGGGTTAACTCATGAAATGTCAGCCAAAATTTTGAAATGCGTTCCCGGTTCAAAAATATTAATTAAATAGGGTTGTAAAACTAATCATCATGCAGAATAATTCTGCAAAAACACAGTTACGTCAGAGTGTACTTTTTCGAACGAACGTCTTTTCGACTGCATGCAAGAACTATACTCTGCAAAAAATGACCACTTATGTAGCATGCGATTTTTTCATTGATTTTCGATGCCCCTAAAAATTCAATTATATTTCATGGAAAACATGCATAAAAATATTCATTCCTTTGCTCAGTCGGTAGAAAATTGCGTCTTCGTCTTCCATTTCAAATTATCCTAATGAATTCTTATCTTCCTAATTCTTTTGTATTCTTGTAACCTTGGGGCTTTTGGACTCTGTCATTGCATTTCTAAAATACGCTTTGAAATAAAGTGTGCGCGTTCGTTGATGTGCGTTTTTCTCTCCTTATTTACTACCCCGGCGCTTTCTCGACGCACACATTTTTCGTTGTATTTTTACGGCAGTCTTGTTTCTCAGTTACTTAATCAGAATAAATTGGCATCTTAAGTACTCTTTGTATATGGCTTCTGAAGTCAATATGCCGTATTCTCCTCGGTTGGCTGTGCCATTCCACGACAATTAGTCTCTGCTACACAGTCCAGTGCCCAAAATCTTTACGGCAAATAGCGTATATTTCATTTCGATCAGATGACCTCGCAGTCTCCTCCAATTCATCCCACTTTTGACCCATCGCTTATCACATTCTGGCGTATATGCAATCATTAATTCAATCTCTAGTCGCCTATCGTGTGCCCTGAGCTAAATTCAAGTATGCTTATAGTATAAGTAAAAATATTTATACTGTCTGCCCTCATTTTATGTTTAACCCGAGTTTAAACCTTTGTGCCACGCAACGTGTCCTGTTAAACAAGATCGTCTACATTTTGGATTCCACTACAATATGAATGCTCATCACGAATAAATAAAAGAATTGATTTCACCTCCTCTACTTGCCTCAAAAAGGCTTTTTAACGTGCTGGCCTCAGGCATTGGTTTGTGCTGACTCCGTCCCGCATATTCTTGTCACCCAGGTGTCAACTAATACCCAAATAAAAAACAAAAACTACCTAGTACTAATTGTCCCAATCACATGTCGCGACTTGACTTGCGGACAATTTTCGCCTAAACGCCATGAGTCTGAAGTACTAGTGAAGTGAATGCACGTGCAAAACAACTTGAAAATTGACAACATCATGTTTCGTACCGTATCTACTTAAGTTAGACAGCTTTAAGGGAAAAGGAATTAGAAATAACTGAGGTCTAGTATTCGAATACAAATGTAAAGACGTGATTAGACGGCCGTCATCCCGAATCCGTCGGCAGTAAGTGTCTGGTCGTCAGATGCCAGGAATACAGGCCAATATACGGCCTTAAAACTGTACTATTTTTAATTTCGGCGGTGGTTAAACAGAATCGCGAATCTTGTGCCGAAGACACTATTCCCCAGAATCTAGTGTCTGATTTATCAGATAGGCTTTACTTCGTGGCAGCGTGGTTCGAATATCACAGGGTCCTGCGCATCTGTCTATAGGCGACTATAGGGAAGTTCCAGTTTTCGGGGCCCATCATCTAGACAGAATTTCGATACAGACAGGAAGTGGAAGACTTTGTTTTAAAAATGCTTATTTGGACTCATGTAAACTGAAAACTGATGAAGGAGACCGTAATCGGTTGACTAAGGTCTCAATTATCTTGTGAAAACGATGTAAGTTTAGACAGATAGTATAGTTTTCAGGTTTCATTTGCGAATGTTTGCACATGTATCAGAAGACCTTCATATAATCTATAATTGATAGCCGCCGGTTTGAGCTATTCATTGCATCTCCGCATGCTCCTCATAACTTTCTGCTTATTATAATGCTGTGCACTGTGAATTAATTCCTGCTCGCCAGTCTAAGTGGAACATGTACGTTCTGGAGTAAACACTATCCATATATGCGCGTTGCAGGCAACGAAACTCAGAGTATTTCTCTCCTCGACTGCTGGCCTACCAGGTCACTTACAGCTGCATGTCTGGCCCTGGTAAAGTTGAGAGAATGCAGGTATCAACGTCCTTTCCTGTCGTCACCTTAACACGGTCCAACCGAATTTTCTGTTCACATTGAAGTCACTTATTAAGCAGTCCCCGTGGGCATTCGTGGAGGACGGAGATGTTGTTCGCAGACAGCGATTCGCCCACCTCTCTCCTACGCACCGTCGCCCACTCTGGGCACGTATGACTGGACACCCGTCCTTTCACGGCACTCATGACTGCCTTTACACTAATGATAGTTGTCACCATCGTCAAGGCAACAGTTCAAACCCTAAAAGCACACGTTCTGGCAGGTAATGCGCGGTCTTGGACAGAATGATACACCCATGCGTCCCCGTGACTCACCCGGCTACTGGTTGTATACATGCCGCCGACAGAAGACCAGACCCGATGATTTTCGCGAAGTAAATGCACGAGTGGGACACGCAAGCACATGTTGGCAAAAACTACCAGAAAACGCACAAATATGGGCAACACGCTCTAGTAATGCAAGATGTTGAATGTCATTTAGATGTAAAGTTTGAGAGTTTAACCAAAGTAAACGCACACACTACTCACAACTTGGAGATCGGCATCCTTATTGTCGCAATTATAGACTGAGACATGCAGATTAACTAGTAGCCGAACACTAATTCTGTCTACATTCTCATGTAAACCGACAGCGCCAAGAAAGCGGAAATTTGGAGCCCTTTATCCTTCATGGGTGCTCACATTATGGAACAAAATTACAACCTAAACTTGTTTGTCGTAAAGGTCGTAGGGCGAACTGGAGGCGAGGCTACGTACAAAGTGATACAGCCGTGAAACTCGGGTCAAGAGCGCAAGTGAGGATTTAGCCAGGACTTTCCAAATTCCCCATTAAGGGTTTTCATTCAGAGGCTTTCCATATGATTCCGATGACAGCTTGAAGAAAAGTTAAAGAATCCTAATGGTAAACGTGACTAGATCATTGGTCACTTCTAGGGTGAAAATTTAGTTCTGTACATATCATAATTGCGGTGAAGGCGATGGTGGATGTACTGAAGAAATAGCGCGAATCTATCTCCCCTTGTTGAGTTTAGAAACCTTCTGTTGGCCACGCGATTCACGTTCTGCATATTTCGAAAACTCAGATTTTTTCGATTTTAAAGGGTATAAGGATGTGGACGTCACGTAGATTCCACAAATAACTGTGAACTGATATGTGCTATGCCCAGTTAATCTAACGTTTTTACATGTCGAAAGGTCTTTAAAATGCATACGCTTGAATTATTTCGGCGAATACCTTTCCCAGTTTGCAAATATTACGCCATTTTAAAATGGGTATCGCGTCCATCATCCCCCGAAGAAGACAAAGATGAAGGGAGGGCGAATTCATTGACCGAATTATATTTGAACTGACGTTTCGGAAACCCTCTCGTCCCCATCATCAGATTAATGTGTTGGCTGTTCCTGCTGGCTTTGATTGCTTCAGTCTTGCTACCTGCCAGGTATTATATCCGTGCTCGAGGCACGAATTATGACCTGCCCATTCGCCGCGGATTAGTGTTGACCTCTCTGCGACTGACCGCCGTTGGGATCGTGTCACATTTGACCCCTTTGCGACCGTCGTAATTGTTGGCGAGCCAGCATTCTTGTGTGTGTATATAAATCTATGAATTTGAAAACAGGCATCCCAAGAATAATAATTCGAAAGAAATAAGTTCTTTGGGAAAGATAAACAAGTTTATTTGTAAATTTTCGACTTTAATTTCCCAATTTTACTAAATCCTGTTATGTGTTTTCTATTAGAATGAATTGTCTGAGTCGGGTTGTAGAACTAATTACCATGCAGCATAGTCACACGATATTTCGCCCAAGCTAGGATGTTGGCTTTGCAATGGGTTTCTTTTCAGCCGCCTGCAACAAACCATAGTGGGTAAAAAGTGACAGACTACGTAGTAGGAGTGTATTGTCACTGATTTTCAATGACTTCATAACTACCGCTATATACGATAGAGAACTTGCAGAAAGGTGTTCTTTTGCGTGCTCAGCTGACAGCAAAGTAAAGCATCGTTAGATTTTATCTTTGAAGAAAATGCATCTCTCGGTTTTAAAAGGTTTCTAATGATGATATTTTTCAAGACCGTGAAATCTACCCTTATATAGCATCATATCTGTCCGTTTATCAGTGCTGCTTGTGAAGTATGCAATATTGTCTGCATCCATTGTAAAATTTTATGAGTCCTATATGATGTATTCTTAATAGCGTACAACAATTTCCGACTTTCCTCACAAAACAGTTCGACTGTCGCAACCAACGATGCCCACCGTGGGTGAAAGCGGGTACGGTGAGTGACGCATGAACAAGTTTATAGTGAGAATATACATGCGCAGCAGCTAGCGCACCCCTTCCTCCCCCCTACAAAATCCGGGTGTCAGGACACAGTCAGGAAGACTGAAGGCGGGAGAGAGTGCAGGTGGCTGGCACGGCCGTACCCGCACCTATGTGTACAATCACACCCCTGGTCCACAAACACTTGACTAGGATTTTTGCCAACAACAGCACAACAATGGGTCCGAAGGACGGGGATGACTTGGCAACCATACTCACGACCTGTGTACCCAGCGAAAGTGCAAGCGCATCTACAGGTAGGGAACCAGGTGCCATAGAACTGCCACCGCGAACCAGGCTGCGAGAGTCATGGGTGACTGATCCCGGCATAGCAGATGCTTGCAGACCTGTAGGCCCCGAAGGGATACGCACAGCCCTGCACTAAGCCTGGTCCAACACCCTTCAGAGGCAGGATAACCATTCAGTCGCCGAGTAAGAGGTACTGCTAATATGCGCAAACACTTCATACATGTGTGAGAGTGCCAGAAGTCAAGTTAAAATGGAGCCATGGCAGCCTGATTAGCAACCTACCAGTCCGCCACTCCGCTCAAACACATAACTGGACGGACCGCGTTGACTGAGTTGAAGCGTCAGTCAGCATTTATTCCAAGCCACGACTCTTGGCGAGGCGTGATGCTCTCAGACTCGGAGCACACATGTAGCAGACGAGTCGCATGCAGAAGGAGTCGAGAAGCACATTTCCCGCTTACGCGGGGGTAGCACTTGAGTGCTCGCGCTGTGTGGTAATGAGTGATGTTGCGTGGCGCAGGTGCAGGTGGGGAAGGTCTGATGGTGTAGTGTGGCCGGTGGTGGTCCATCGGTTTTCATGAATGCTCACCTGGCGGTGGGAAAATGTGCAGGGGTAGTGTGGACAGTAAAGGCAGATGCGGTGAGTGTCTGTGGGTTTCCCAGGCACCGCCCACAGGCCGATGTGTGCAAATTGCTGGACGTCGGTTGTTGGTGGTTATGGTATAAGATGATGGGACGTCGAATTTCGCCTCACAGGTGGGAGGAGCGCGTAATGTCGTTGTGGTGGTGGTGGTGGTGGTGGTGGTGGTGGTGGTGGTGGTGGTGGTGGTGGTGGGAGTCGACGCAGGGGTGGAGCAGGGCGGGTGATGTCAGTAATTGGCGTCGACGGAGCAGCGACAGTGTAATAGTCGGTGACGGGTGTGGTGGTAGACGCGGGGATTGCGGCAGGGGCGAGAGTGTGAGGTGACGTAGACGTTGTCGGGCGGTTGACACACTGAGTCCAAAAATGGCCCACGAGACAGTTCTCGAGCGGAATGCGCATTGACAGGGCAGACGTGTTGGAAGCTGTTGAAGGTTGGCATGGAGAAGGCGAGGCACTTGTGACTTGTGAGTCCCAGTTTGGTTTTGGTGCAGGCGATCCGAGTTGCTTCTTAAATTGCTGTGCCGGTCTTCGCTTCTTTTCGCCATTCTGGTCTGTTTTTGACGAGATTGATCCAGGTCCCGGGTTGATATGCAGCCGTTTCAGAGAGTTATTCAAAGTGTTCTTGTAGCGCCGTTTTTGTCCTCCTTGTCGTCGAGTAACCGTGGAGACATCACCAAAGAAAATTCGCATCCAGCTGGCCTTGTCCGGAGGACCGGGTCTCGCTGAATGCAGAGAGGTCCACCATGCAGCGTGCCAATTCCCCAGCCACTGGCGCCGTCGTCAATCCCGGTTGGTTGTTCCTGGGATTGTCTAAAAGGGAAAAAAACATTCTAGGCTGCCAGGCTCTACCATCTTGAGTAATGTTGGGCTTCGGAGAAATGCTTAGAAAAGCGAGGCCACGCCGCTGAAGCGTATTTTAAAAACGGAAGGGTTCGATTAAATCCCGAGGAGCGATCTGGTTTTCTTATAATGGCATCATGTTGGGGCAAACTAATCCGGGAGCTCAAAATATGCGTCCCAGCCGACACCTAGTTTTTGTGAAAATGTCAGTCTTTCAGGGGTTTCTTAAGTTATTTCTGCGTCTGAAGTAAGTGAATTAACCTTCAAACATTATTAACTGTCAAGTTTGGAGAACTCGGTGGAGGAGGCGTGAACTTGTGAACCCAGATATTTCAATGCGAGTGCCACCTATACCCCTGGAGGCAAACAGCAGTTGACCATTTAAGCAGGGTCATTTGTCTGCTTTTTGCTCTGAATTCAATCGCGGAGCATTTTTGTATTGTTTTTAGGGTTATTGGTGACATTCTGTCGACCTCTTAAATCTCCCTCTGTTACTCTCCTGTGTGCTAACTACTTCGCTGCGCAATGGGAAACTCCCTGATTATTCAAGAGGCAAAAAACTGCTTTCGCCTTTCCTAGGTGTGGGCGTAGGACTAAACATGTGTGACACACTGTTCACATTGTTTTTCACGAAATCTAATTGCATGCACTCAAGAAGTCGATTGAGCAGAAATTCTTTCCTAAGTTGACCCTCCATTCTCATTTCCGTCTGGGAAATATGCGTACCGGATTCGTGTTTGAAGTTTACAGGAAATGACAAGATTTGTGTTTTTCCTGTCAAGAGTTTCCGTTCCCTGATTTGTTTGTAGACAGCGGACGACCTTAATGGTTGTAAGCGCGGAGGCCGAACCGAATTCGAGCATTTATAACACTTAACCGATCTGGGAGGTCAACGTTTTGCGCATGTTTCAAATTCGCGTAAATAATGAGGAAAATGCGAAAACGGTGACGGCCAGAATACTAAAATACATAGGGCAAATATGACCCACCTAAATGAAACGATTTGTTACACAAGAAGGGAACGGGAATAAACATAGCGCACTTAGGGCAGTCATGATCAATTATTGATAAGTTGGGTTTATTATTTCAAAAAAATACTAGAAAACAGTTACTCGCCATCTTAAATTATTTTCGAAGAAAACTGCAACTTAACAAATTGGGCATCTCGTCTGAGGGAAATTTCTAATTATTCATGCTGTTTAGAGCTTTATTTGGTAACGTATTTTTAATTTTACATCCGTTTCGTCGACCTTGTCGGCATGTCAATAAGTGACTGATTTTGTCGTCGTAGAATTCAAAAGGGATGAAATGCAATGAGGAGCTTTCTGTTTCTCAGAAGACGAAATAAAAACACCTTTAAACATCTGCATCATCCTATTTGCACCGGCAACTAAGCGTCACTATTTTGAGGAAACAAATATGGCAAAATTCATGTTAGCAGAGTGCTGCCGGTGAAAAAAATAGTTGGGAATGTTCAGTCCCCTATTGCGGCTAGTTCCTTCGGTGTAAAAATTCATTTCACGAATTTAGACCAGGTCTACGGCGGCCAAAGTCATTCTCTGCCATCTGGCAGGAAATCTGCGATCCAATCTCATTCATTGCACCTTGTGACAATCGTTTCGAAAAAGGCGTTTCTTTGTTTTGTGAATGGACAAATATGAATGTAGTTTAGACTGGCCATATTTGCTGGCGATGCATTTCGTCCTAAACGCCGCCAAAAGAGAACAAACGAGTTCGACTCTACTGATCGTGCAGTACCTCATGTTGAAAATGAAACAATTGATTACCTGATCCGTTTTCGATTTTCCTTTTATTTTCTCATAAACGTCGAATGAACTAAATTAGCAAAATTGTTTGCCGTTTGGCATCGTTAAATTATATTGCTCAACTTTCAAAAGAGTTCGTCAAGCAATCAGATATATTTCATGTTTCCCAATGAAACGCTAAACGATATACATCCAGCAAATTCAAATATTGGTTGCGCAGTTGCGTAAAATTATTGGAAAGGGGCCCAACAAAAAGTTATAATAGACCGACTCTTCAGGAGCAGAAGGTGCACATAAGTTTTAACTAGTTGTTTTTACACATTTCCCTTCAGAGAGACCAGAATTAAAACTTATGCACAATGCAATTTTGCTGAGACTTGCGTGTTTGGAAATGCTCGCTCGTCATTTGGGTTCTCCTCCTAAGGCTAATAAGTTTACATATTTAAATTTATAGAATTTGCGTAGTTCGGAGAAGGAATACAGAACATTAGGTCAAAGCATCTGAAATTTTCTGGCGACGGGACTAAACCATTCCACATTTACAATCGAACTTTTAAATAGGTTAAAGGTTTAACATAGACCTAGTTTTCAAACTACAGTCACTCATCTTACGCTTACTGAATTTGTCACGTATGGCTAAAATTAGGCGCTCTGGTGGTATTTTATAGGACCCACTTGTTGACTAAGGAACCATATGCGATTTCACACAAGACTCAGACGCGAATTACTGAAATATTTATGTGGAAAACGGACAAATATTTATCTCGCCGATGGGAACTAGTGCCCATGTTTCTGAAAACTGCAAAGCTAGGCATTATTTTTTACCTGTCCGAGCAAATTTTACAAACAACAGCCTTTATGAAAGAAAGTCACCAGATATGGTTCATGTTTTGCAAACTCAAATGAACAAGCAGGGCAAAGTAGAACGGAAATTAATTGACATTACAACAAATTATTTCAAATCCTGCATAGTACGCCATTTTGCTATTTATTTTATTTTGATATGCGTTTTTGAACCGAGAAAGTAGAAGCGCGTTTTTCTTTGGACAGAATTAAAGTAATGCCGACTGGAGATTAAGTACAGCTTCGAGGCATGTGCTTATTCTGGTTTGGTTTACTAGAGAATGACGCATTCGAAAAATCAATAAGCAATTTAGCAGAGGACTGAGATTGATTGCTAATAAATACAACACGCGGCTTTGTTCAAGAAACTTGAGAGTAAAAATTAAGATTATTAGGTTTAGGCATGTAAAAAGTTGTACGAGCCATTAATTCGCCTAGCCTGTTCCAAAAATGTCCCCTTAACATAAAATAGCATGTACAGATTATTTTATTTGACAAAATGTTTAAAAATCTGAGCAAACATCTACAACGCCCTATATTCTGGAAATCGTCCAAATAACCGACTGCCCTAGACCCAGTTTGCTCATCTGAGCTTGTATTTCTTTCAGAAGCTAGTAGTGTAACCTCTAAAATTTAACCTAACAATGTTTTGTACTTGAAAATTGATTTTTGCCCAAAAGGAAAACCGCAGAGTTACAGGCGAGATAGGGATGACAGTCTGGGGCCACGTAGAAGCGTTCAGCAGGTTCATCGACTGGTTTGATGGCGATCGTCAGCATATTGATCAGAAGAAGTTTGGTACGACCGTGGGCGTGCCTGCTTTAACCATTCCAGATCATGCTCCCTGCATTAACACTTCCTGGGTGACAGTTTCCAGCAGTTCATGTACGGTAAGGTATATTCGACAGCTTATTATTGCGAAATGTCAACTTAACTGCATCAAAGAAACGGGAATGAGCGCCCACCTTTGGATGACACTACCTCAAAATGGATTCTAAATTAGACCAAAAATATGCATTTACTTATCTTCCTCTTGTCGCATGAGCCAGCTCCGAGAAAATCGGCTCCACAGCATGTCCTCCAATGTCGATTAAATGATTTCCATTATATAAAGTCAGAACGCGATCAAACATTTTCATAAATTATTGACAGAATTTCTAATAGTTGCGTCCCGAGATGTGGCACTTTAAGATCAGTCTCGAAGATTAAACAAGCATTTGATTTGAAAACTGCCGTCCACTGTGAAATAACAATGTAATTCTTATTCTACACAAACGTAGTGCAGACCAACTAGTATTACCATAATATGCCAAGAGTATGTCAGACCAATTATCGGATAAACTGTTACTACTAAGCGTGCTGCTTTACTTCTAGGTTAAATAGACACTGCGCGGTTATTTTGTAGACGCTGTCTGACCTAGAATCGAAAACTTATTAAAAATGCGGAACTGGCCTTACATACTTCTACCCCCAGCGCTTAACTACAATTCAGTCTGTCAGTAACTTATGAACATACTGACTTATGTCCTCATCAGCGATTTACATGCCGGAAGTCTCGGAAATGACGTTGGGAGAACACACTGTGACGCTGAATGCCTCGTTGATGAGACGCCCAGTGGGAACCTCCGTAAAACAGACGCTGTGGATGTTCAATTAGTACCGCCGCTGGGGTCGCTGTTATTCCCATAAGTGTAATATGCATATTGTACAATCATAACAAAGCCGGCCCAGAGCGAGCAAGACACCGACCTATGTCCATTCTGTGCAGAGTTATCGTTGCCATTGAAAGAATTTTTCAGTTGCTCTCTCTCTCTGACCTCATCTTAAAAAAGGCATGTGCATTCATCTGCGGACTATCTAGACAAAGCGAATTTAAAGGGATGACTTGTACATGTTGTCTTATATTTTATGTTCAAAGGGTTGCAGCAGAGCCCTTGACGATCCTATTAATATGCAGTTGATTTGCATAGCTGCAGTCAGTATAAGAATGTAAACATTTAGAATTGTGTTCAAGTCAAAATGCAAAACAATTTTTTTTAAACAAAACGATTTTTATTGTTCAACGCGAATCAGTGAGGGAGCATGATAGAGCAGGATGTGTTTATAAGGCTGGTTGAAAGTACTCAGGTTATAAAAGACGAGTTTCGTAAGAAATTTCGAAATCAGTTTTCCTTTTAAAACAAAACAATCACTATTTCGTTTGAACACGCGTTCCGTGGTTGGACTACTGGTTGGGTTAAG